GGGCCAAAGGCGCTTCACATTAGCCAGCTTCTCTCTGTGAATCTCAGATCCTAAATATTTCTATTTATTTCTGGACCTAACCCAAGGATCCCAACTGACAGGAGTTCAAGGCGCCAGACCGAGCTAGGTGTGTTTGGGCCAGATTCCCACACTGCCCTGGCCACTTGCCCTGAGCCTGCCCCGGTGCAAGCCCTGGGCCTACACTTTGCTTGATCTGTAGACCAGACTGAATGCCTGTAAAATAGCTGACATAAAGGTCTAGGTACTCCACATCTCACTACATCTTCATTCCACTTACAAACTCATTTGTGCCAGCATGGCAAACACAACAAACCCTAGAGTCCCCGAAATTAGCGAGTCCCCAGTTAGTCTTTCCATGTGGGAATCCAGTTGATGTGTTTATTCTCAACTGTGTATTTACACAACCTTTGTCACTCTTGTGTGACAGACTTTGGCTAGACAAGACTGAAGCAGGGCCGTCCTGCAGCAAAAGGCACAGCTCCATGTACAGACACGCACACATGCCTGAGCTCTGCAGGAACAAGCAGCTTCCCGGGTCAGCACAGGAGCGCCAGGAGTCCCCAGGAGAGGTGTGAGGCAGGGAGAGCCTGGAGCGCCCTCCGGAACACTTATGAAAAGGAAGCCAGCCCTACAATCAGAAAGAACAGAAACTGCAGGAAGTAGGAGGTGCAGGTCCATGAGAGAAACTGAGAAGCAAAGGCCTTGAAGCAGAAGATAACAAGGAGGTTGAGATTCTGGCAACATCAGCCTTTCACCCACGTTCACCTTCTTTTCTCTTGAGAAGACAGACAATGTTAGCAAAATAATAAAATTTATTTCATTTCACTGTTTTATTGTTTGGCCTTATTTTCTCTTGATTACTGCCACAGTGTAACTGATTTCCTACAGGTTTAAATAAGCATGAAATGTGTAACCTGCAATCACAGCGTCCTTCACAAGTGAATCTCAGGCCAACCACAAGATTTTTCCTAAGGACCACAATTTGCATGGTTTTTGTAATTAATAATCTGCCCCCCCCCAAAAAAAGAAACCATGTTTTCAAAAGCTCCTGGACCCAAACTGAAGTCATTTTTAAAATAACAACAATTAAATAATTCTTGTTTAAGGGGCAGAAGAGAGTGGCCCCAAGATCACAGGCACAGAAAACCAATTTGTAATAACGGGGTCACTAGCAACTTTATATTCTCTGTTCTATGTACACACAGACACAATCTGTTCCCCTCCCCCCCGCAAGGTACTGCAGTATAGGCAACTGTTACTATTATATCACATTTTCAACTAAATTACAAACTGTCTTTTTTTAGCAAAGAGGAAGAACTCAAGCAAAAGAGTAGGGAATTTGGGAACATTTCCAGGGATTAAAACTACTTAGCCAATGAAAAAATTAGGGATTCAACCCATCCTTACTGAGTAGCTACCATGAGCCAGGTGTAGCTCTAAATAACTCCACACTCACCACTAGATCCAGTACTTAACCCCACAGGCTCTGTAGGAGTGATGGCAAACCCATTAGGAGTTTTCAATGACACAACCAGCCCAATGCAACACATGTGCCACAGGGTCACCACGACTGGCTTGCCCAAGGCTAACTAGGTAATAAACCTAGGCTTCCAACGCCATGCTGAGAAGAGGGCGAGGAGGGGATGGAGACAGGGCAGGTAGACAGCTCCACTGCTTCCCCCATACCTGTGCAATCTGTGCCCTCCTGCCCTGTGTACTGATCAGCAGTCAGATCTTTGCATTTAGGGCAGTTTTCATGCAAACAGGTGCTCAATATATCTTCCTAGAGACTACTGCTGCCCTACCAAAATACCCAGTTCTCCCTGCACCACCCGTGTGTAAAGTCCCAGAGTCTTCCCAGGCAGTTCCGCTCTCTGCAGCCCGATCCTCACCTACCAAGGAGCGCACACTGCTCCAGCTACCTGAATGACTCTGTCCACACTGTTCCCCTGACCCTAGAGCACCTGCCCTCCTTCTCCCCAGGAGGGACCAGGCAGCACTCCAAGGTCCACAGACCCAGACCTCACTGTGAACCTACAGAACCAGAACCCTACGGCCCTGACAGGCAAGTGTTAAGTCACTCCACTACTAAGGAAGCACTGTCTTAAATCAACCACCAAGCCCAATGCGAATCCTAGTGACTAAATGGCAGCCCCTCACCGTGCCAGAATGATGCTCCCACCTCCAAATCCCATAAACAACGACCGTCTCATTCCCTCCTGTTGCCATGAATCCTCCTGCTCCCTGTTAGTTTATACTATATTCTTTTCATCTCCTCTTTCTGAGTGCAGGCTTTTAGCCTTCTATTTCTTCACAAAGCATAGTGCTTTCTACACAGCCCTTCAACAGAACCCACACACACACAGCTGGTACCATCCCTGCATCCAGCAGGCATCCAAGTGTCAGGCCATAGGCACAAGGACAGATACATAAACAAACAGCCCTCTCATGTGAAGCATGCAAGAGACATGTCCAGGTAACAGTTCTCCAAATCTAGCACAGAACCCAGCTCCTAGGGCTCAAGAACAAGTGGCCACTGTTGCCCATCAGGGATCAAAACCACAATACTGCCTCTCGCTCAATAAAGAAAAATGTTATATATGACTGCAGCAAGGGTAACCCTTCAAATATCCACTTATTGAGGACATTTCTAGTACTGAGTCATACCATTCTGCTCATTCTGCTGCCCAGAAAAAATTGATTTGTTTAACCTGAAGAGAAAACAGCTCAAATGTACAACTATAATGCCAAAAATTAGCCCCAGCATGCCACAAAATGCTTACTGCAGAGAAAACCTTAGTGAGTTGGGTTTTTCTTTTTTTTTTTACAATGAACATGATCTGCCCACATTTTCCCCACCAGATGGAAGTTCATCATGCCACATGTCACCTAGCAACCTAACCTCTACTTTACAACTACCCAGCTACCCAATTCTTCACACAGAATTTATCTTGTTCTGTTAAGCAGAACGGAAAAGAGAATAAATGTTAAAAGTGGTAACATTTGTTTTCTTTGTAATCACCTTACACAGGATGGGAAAGGTGGAGAGAAAGACTAATGATCAGTTTTAATCATTACCCTAGAAAATCGGTTCTGGCAGTATTTAAAAGTCAACAGTTTTGTGATCCAATCATTGAACTTTGCGTAACTGCAAAAGGCCCAACTTAAAACCAACCTACTAAACATGAATTGCACTCGAAGAGCACTTCAATAATTCTGGAAACCCTGCATTTTCTCTGATGATTCCTGTTCTTTAGCTCCAGCTCCAGGGTCAGGTACCCTTCCTGCCTGCTCTTCTCCACCATCTCCCACTCACCTTTCACTCGCAACGTCCCTTCCTCGATTATCTACTTTTTCTGTGCTGCCAAGTCCTCATGAACCAACAGGTCCCAGGTCTAGATTTGTGACCAAAGCCAGTCAACTCCCCACTCAACATCCCAGGGGTGCCCTTTCCTCCCCCAGAGCAGGTCAATACGAGTCCCCTTCACTGAGGACCACCGAGCCTCTTGTGCTGGCCTTTAACATCTACTGTCCACAAAGCAGCCAGTGGGTCCCTAAATGCCCAGCACCCAGGACAGTGCCTTGGACATAATGAATGCTTAATTCTGTGGAACAAATTGATGATTCGATCAATCAAACAATTCCAAACAGGCAATTCAACCAACGTCCACTGAGTACATGATGAAACATGACTAATTTTAAGCACGCGAAATTATCAGCGTGGAAAATGCCCACCGCATCTTGTCTCCTGAGGAACCACTGAATATTGTCACCTATAAATCCCCGCCTACCTCCTCCCTTTTTTATTGACTGATACCGTCGGTTTCCAGTACACAACCCGCTTACTCATTTGGAACACTGAAATCATAAACTGACATTCATAAACAATCTTTCAAAATGCTACATGTGAGATTTGAGGGTCCCCACTACCACCACCGTCAGCTCTGTAAGGTAAACAGCTGCCCCATTTCCACCCTTTCAGTTTGATTTTCAGTGAGAGCAACTGCTTGTGATGAACATTTTACAGCTGTTAATAGTCATACTCTCTCCTCGCATCAGGTTCCTAAATAGCTCCCAAAATTATCTTTAAAGGGCTAAATCTATGCTACTTTTCCAATATATGTTAACAAAAAAAAACAACAAAGGAATTTTTTTTTCTTTCTTAATCTCGGAGAAATTGGAGAATGTCACCCCAAGCACCCTGCACAATACTGGGCAGACAAAGCCACCTCCCCTCCCTCGCTGTCCTGCAGCCCACGGGAGCCGGGCTCCTCCACTGTGGGCAGCAGCCCGAGCGCTTTCCGAGCAAGACGCCTCACAAAGAAAATATCCTCAGGTGCTGGAGACCAACTTCTTCCCGGGCAGTTGTCAAACACAGACACGGTCGATAAAACAATTTAACAAAACGCCTTTTCACTCTGACACATTGTAGAGGAATGCAGCTCCGGGGAGACAATGTTATCACTCCACAGAGCAGAGGGAAAGCTGCACTCCGGGCCGGCCCGGACCACGCGGAAAAGGATCGCACAGGTAAGCGCGAGGGCCCGGTTCCACTTTCCCCGCGCTGACCCAGGTCGGGATGCCCGGGACCCCTCGGGGACCTCGGCTCCCCAAGCCCGCGCCCCTGACGCTGCGGGCCGGCGGGGAGCGGGGCTCGAGAGCGGCGGCGCGGAAGCCGGGACCCCCGGCCCCAAGTTCCCAGCGCAGCGCCGCCGCGGGGCCTGGCGCCGCCGGGAGAGGCCTGGGGCTGGATTTACGGGCGCGGGGCCCCGCGCACGGGGGCTCGGCCGGGAGCTCGGCGGGCCGCGCCGGGGCGGGGCGGGGCGCCCGTGAGGCCGGGCCGGGGCGCCGCGCTCCCTCCGCTCCCTCCGCTGCGCTCCGCTCCCCGCCGCGTCCGGGAAGCGCCATGTTGGTCCCCGCCGCCCGCCGCCCGCCGCCCGCCGCCCGCCGCCCGCCCCGGCCCCGGCCCCGGCCCGCACCTTGGCGATGGCCTTCCGGTAGCGGGTCACCGCCTGCTGCACCAGGCTGCAAACTTTCATGTGGCCGTCCCCGCACGGCACGACCACCCGGGTCCGCCCGAAGCACACGGTCACTTTCATGCCGCCGCCGCTCGCTGGGACGCGGCCGCAGCGGGGAGAGCGCAGCGGGTCCGGGCGGGGGCGCTAGGGGCGCGGGCGGGCGGCGGCGCGGGGGCCCCGCGGGGCCAGCATGTCCGGGCCGCGCTCCGCCTGCCGCCGCCTGCTGCCTGCTCGCCGCCGCTCCCGGCGCCTGCAGCCTCCGGCCACCTGTTCGGCTCCGCGCTCTAGCGGCGGCGGCGGCCCGGGCCGAGTAGCGCTGGCGCTGGCGCTGGAGGCCGGCAAGGGCGGGAGCGGGCGGCGCGGGGCGGGCGCACAACACGGCGCACATGCGGAGGGGTGGGGACCCGGCGCCCCGCCCCGCAGCGCCCGCCCCGCCCCGCCCCGGGCAGGGTCCCCGCGCCGGCTCCCTTTGTCACTTGGCGTCCCCTGCTCGGCCGGGGCTGGGGTGCCTGCGCTCCCCGGGGTAGCTGCGTGGTTCTCCTCCTCCTGCGCCTCCTCCTCCTTCTTCTCCTCTTTTTTTTCCTCCTCCTTCTCTTTCTCTTCCTCCTCCTTCGCCTCCTCCTCCTCCTCCTCTCGGCACCTTCTCCTCCTTTGCCTCTTTTTCCTTCTTTTCTTCCTCCTGCGCCTCCTCCTCCTTCTTCTCTTTCTCCTCCTTGTTTTCCTCCTCCTCCTCTTTCTTCGCTTCCTTCTCCTCCCTTTCCTCCTCTTCCTCCTCTTCTTTCTCCTCCTCCTTTTCCTCCTCCTCCATGTATTCCTCCTCTTTGTCCTCTTCCTCCTCCTCTTCCTTGTCCTCCTTCTACTCCTCCTCATCTCTCTTTTCCTTGTTTCTGCATTTAAAACAGACACAGGCCTCTGGCTCCAGCTAGAGCTTGGCCAGGCTCCCATGCGCTCCGGCCTTTCTCCGAGGCTGCTGTTTACCTTCAAGATTCTTGCTGACCTGCGGGCTTGAATACGTAGAATTTACACATCAGCAATCCAGATACGTTTGCTTCTTGAAAATTCTGCGGCACAAGCAATCCTGCAGGGACATTGAGCCAGAGGGTCCCCAGGCCAGGACGCAATGGCGTTGTCGCAGCTCCAAGAGTTAGCTATAGCCAGAACAGGTAGCGGTTTTTTTAAAAAGAAAAAGGGGGGGGGGGGAACTGGACCAAGTCAAAAAATGTAACTGAAGCCCATTTCTAGACTTAGTTCTAGACTGATGCCTAAATAACTGAATGGCATTGCATTTAAAGAATGGTAAACATCAGCAAAGAGTCACTGTTGACCGAAGCCTGTCCCAAACGATAGTACATTCATGTTTCCAGGTTTTTAGCCTATGCGAAAGCAGCAGAGCTCCGGAGTGTGGCTGTCGGTGCATCCCAGACTACCTCCCACTCTTCCAAAGGGGACCCAAGATTCATCTGCTTCCTGTCTCACAGCCCTGAACAACCAGTACCTGCCTCACCTGTGCCCTAAAGAGTGCTGACTGCTGCAGTCCCCTCACTCTCCAGGATACTGACACGGGCATTTCCCCAAGGCCACTGAGAAAGCCGAAGGCAGACTGGGAAATGGGCTGTGTTCCTTCCCCGTGATCCTGGGAAAGACTCGATACCCTCCTATTTTGCCACAAGATTCAACATTTCTACTCAGGAATAACTAAGTCTGTGGTACCCGTTGTTGAGGTCTTCTTTGGTCCTTCTGTTACTGAGTCCGCGGGCAACAGTTATGCATTATTATAGGAGCTGTTTCTGTTTGCACATCGGGAGACAGTAGACTGGTTGAGAGCTGGGTTTTCTCAAAAGCAAACTTCAGATGAAAGTCAAGCTTCAGTAACAGCTCAAGTACCCCGGGTATCACACTGATCTAGGTTCAGATCCCAATTCTACCATGTCTTAGGTGCATTCACTGTGGACAGCCTCCGTTTTACCCTCTAAGAAGTGAAGTTGATGAGATCCCTCTCATAACTTTTGTGGATTAAATAAAATAACATAGTAAATCAGTACATCCTGCTGGACTGGCAGGAGGACAGAAAATTTTTGCCCATTTTGGGCAGCTTGGTGACTTTGCAAGATTCTATCTCAAAATAAAAAATAAGAAAGGGGCAGTGGGGTGGGTGTGCAATTCAGTGCAAAGGACCTGAGTTCGATGCCTGGTATCACTAACAAACAGCAATACATACATGCTGCCCATGGGAGCATGTAACACAGCAGAGTCCCATTGACAAAGGGCAATGAAGTACAGGGCAGAGAATGACAATGACATAGGGAAGGACAGGGAAGAAAAGCCAGGAGCTCAGAGAAATTTCCAGAGAGGTGATGGGAATACTTAGGACATAGGCCAGAGCAAGAACCAAAAAAATGACGCTCATGATTCTCAGGCCATGATTTAATCTACACTATTTCTATTGAACCTGCAGTTTAGCAGACTTCCCGTATGGAAAACAGTGACATATTACTGAATTACACTGCTGAGTAAGAGAAAGACAGATCAGAGGTTAGAATTAAGTAACTGCTCCAATTAATACTGTATTTCAAGTATTTACTCAGTAAATGCCAGCAGCATCAGAGTACTTTCATGCCATTTCCCTTCCACCCATTACGTTCACTGTTTGTTACTAAGGTTTAGACAGTTTCTTAAACATGATCTACAGGACTAATGATAATCATGGCTATTCAACTAACCAGCAAAGCCTATGGTTTATCTAGATGCAGTGGTTCCCTTTATATTAATAATTGATGAAACACATGCTCTGTAATTTTAGATACCAGATCGTTTGGTGTCTTGAGTTGATTGCATAAAACTTCATGACAGATAATGAATCTATTTTCATTAATATACTCCTCAGCGAGCATCTAACCATGAAGTTGGGTTAGGGCCAGACTAACTTCATGCCTATAAAATGTTCAGTTTGACCAAATTGCTTCAGGCCTGAAGTAAGCATAAAAACAAACCAAGTCCTGATGTGAAGCAAAATTATGAAAGCCAAGGGTCAAATGTTACATAAATATTTTATAATGCATTTAACTTTTTTTTTTTTTTTGGCCATCCTATCCTGTTTACTTTTGTAAATTCTGCATATTTCTGGTTGCAAACATTACGACCCTCCTCTTTCTTGTTTTTCTGTTTTATAGTTAATTGACTCAGTTGATTTTTTTTAATACCCTAAAGAGTTTTGAGAATTAATTAGCGTTTATCTGGGCATTGGGCCTGTCGGCAAATGGACAGGTGTGACCACATGGACTGTAATTTCAATGACATCCAGCCGCACTCATGTGCACCCTGAAATAGATACATACCCCACGTGTGTAGGGACAGCATTGTATTACCAAGTATCTCACCCTTAGAAAGTTAATAAGTAAGAATAAAGAAGTCAGGTACAGGAGTCTTTGAAATTCAGTCATACTTTGAAGATTATAATTATCTGTGGGGCATTTCACATAACTATTAGTGACTACTCTTAGACTGTATACTTAGGTAACATTGACAATTTCATATGCCTAGCCCCACCCAAGTCTAACAAGAGAGTTAGTTCACTCATTCAGTAAATTCCCATCCACCTATTTGATATCCAGCCCTATACTGCACAAGGGGTTTATAAATTCATCCCTCAAGAGGCCCCCAGGCTGGCAAAGATCTTAGGAATGAGCTGGCAGCAATGGTGAAGGTGACATTTTAGGATGTTGGTGGTACCCAGGAAAAGTGTTCCCTCCTCCCGCAAGAGAGGACAGCAGGGGAAGAAGCAGGTTATCTAATGTCATCCATGAGGAACATAATCTGAGCTACACATATAGTATTAAATCTTCTCCTAGCCCTGGGCGAAATTCATTTTTAATGAGCTAGTTTAACCCAATACATACTGCACACTATCCACCTTCAGGAAATATTAGTGAGTCTTTTTTTTTTTTTTTTTTTTTTTTCAGTTCTTGTGGAGACTTTCAGCACATCTCAATTTGGACTGGCCATATCTCCAGGGCTCCATGGCTACACACGGCTAGTGGCTACCTAAGGGACAGTATGGTCTGGAGGTGGGGTGAATGCTGGCTGGAGGACATATGGAGGACCTGACTCCTACACAGAAAGAGCTCTCTGCAGACAGGACTGTCTTGGAGAGCACGGGCCATGAGGTCACCCAAGGTTGGTCACAAGGGTGAATGCAAATGGATGAAGACATCAGTGTGTGACTGGAGTAGTGCAGAGTACGAGGCTTCCTGACACAGATGTACACTGTTGCGCAGTAGTGTCACTGTTTTGTGTAAAACACACCGAATGCGAGAAAGGAGAGCTGGCCCAGGGCTCAGCACAGCTGCACTGCTGCTGAGAACCATGAAACATGTCTAAAAGCAGATTTTTCCAATGGCACCTGAGCTCGTGTGAGTTACACTATGAGAGGAATAACTACAAACCACGGGAAAGGAAACAAGAAACAAATCAATGCAAGAGAGGGTGACCCTGAAGGATCCCCAGCCTGCCAAAAGTAGGTAGAAATGTACAGGGAATGATTGCACAGGTGGGACAGCCATCTCCTGTCTCCTTTCCCCTTGATTCCAGGGCTGCGACTTCATCTCAGAAACCAGTATCATCCGAACGACAGCTAACTTAGCACCAGGTGTGTGTGTCCAAGTCCCCAGCTGCCGAACATAATTCCATGCTGCCCTCTGCCATGCCACCAGCTATGTCATAGTCACTGAAGTTGCCGGAGTGGTCATCTTTGCTGTCCTGTTCTGCTTCCCAGGAAGTTCTGAAGCAGCGCCCTGCTGAGCCTGTCTTAGCCTGTCTGTTGTTGCTGTAACAGAGTACTCCAGGCTGATCAGCTCCAACAGATCTGGAGCACATGAGGCAGGAATGGGGACAGATCAATGAAATCCCTGAGCATTTTCTGAGGCAGTGAAACACTCCTCACCCACAAGACACCTCGCATTCAATGATCAAAAGGAAAAAGTTCACAGAGGGTTCCCACCAAGACTTAGATAAAGCCAGTGTGAAAAGGCTGGTGTCAAGGGGCTAGGTGTCAGCTTTTAAAGAGCACTGGACAAATGTGGCTGAAGAGTTTCACTGAGCAGTGAGAAAAGGGGGGAAAGGCATTGAGGTGGCCGATTGGAGCCACGCAGGGTTGTGCTGACAGTGAGTGAATGAAGTTCAAACGTGAAACAGGATGGGCAGGGGAAAGCTTGGGATGATGGGAGGTGAACAGGG